TACGCGCGAGCCTGGGCGGTAGTCTTCGGGGCCCTTTCGCGGAAGACTCGCGGAAGCAAGGTCCCGAAAATCTACCGAAAACACTTCGCGGCAGGAGCCGCGGAAGGCGGAAGCAAAAAAGACTACAGCCAAGACTCGCGGAAGGTCCGCGGAAGGCCGCCGCGGAAGGGCATTGATATGGTAGTGAAATTATATAGGAATAAAAACCATGGCTCACTTGGACTCTTCCGATAGGCCCAAGGTGTGTCCTAAACAGGAAGCGCTGCCCATATTCTAATAATCTACCCACACAAAAACAGAGCCGCGCAATTGGGAAGTCCCGCATGATACTGTACAATGTGATGCACACACTCCCACTTTGGTGCGGGCCCCTCTAAATCCCATATTATGGTAGGCCCAAATTCCTACAAGATATTTGGAGAAAAGGCGCTAACGCGACCAGCCTGTGGCATTGTTGCTTTTTCCGCAGAGTAGATCACTCACCTTGTTGTTGCGCATTGTCTTGCGGCACACTGCGTTTGCGTCGGCTGCTATGCACCTGGATGGTCTAGGTCATCAGCTGCTGCCTCACCCGTGTAGATCACCACAAAGGTAGTTTCTTGCGTCAAGTCGACCTCATCACACATCACACAAGAACTCCCCAGCCCCAGCAAGAATACAACTTCACTTTTTCTGCAACATGCGAGACATACCATCCTCCTTTCGAAAGATTGACCTTAGTCACCCAGGGCGAAAAGCCAAAACAAATCCAGAATCTGCTAAGTACTTCCAAAACATCGCCAACACCACTTCTGAGTTTTCATTTTGATAGTGTTTTAGAGAAACAGAATTTCGGTCCCCCGCAATGCCGCAGCATTCAGAAAAAGTCCTCGCGGTTTGTTGAACCTGCTTGTAATGACGCCAATGACAATGAAAGCTTAAGAATACTCTCTAGGCTTGAATGCCAGTAGCTCGAAGTGGGGTGCGCCAAATCCAGGCAGTGGTGTGTTTGACCATATCTTGCTTGCTTGTGCTTCCCCAGGTCTCTGTCTCACGTGTCCAGGAAGGCATACGAATACCTGGCAAGGCTTGGCCGTTGCTTCACGCATTTTCTCACTCTTGCTTTGACTTGGCCTTTGACGCCTGATTCCCTGGCATGTTTGCACAACAGGTTCAACCAAAAGAATCAGGCCAAGGCAGGAGTTTGAAAACTTTTCCGAGCCTCATTCGCTGTCCATGTCAGCAGATGGTGCTAAGTGCTAATGTTGTGAAACCGGGTGAAAACGGAAACGCGGACCCACATAGCACGGAATTATCCTACATCCGGCCTGTTCCTGGACAAAAATGCGGGCGATGCCCAGCAAAATCTGGCAATTTGCTGCATAGCCCGTATGCCTTATGTACATTACCTGTGCATGATGTGGTGCCGCCACTGCGAGAGGCATGCACTTAATTTTTCCTCTGCCGTCTCTGCCCTTCCTGCAGCCTGCGGCCGTACATTAAGACTCATAGACTAAGAGACGAAACCATTCAAGATTCCAAGTGGAAGACCGCAAGCAACATGTTCAAGATGTTCCTTCGTGTGGTTTAAATGCTGCTGACTAGTTGAAGAGTCATGGAACCTGCGGCACAGACCTGCCAGTGAGGCGTCTGTGCAAAAAAATGCACTGCAGTGAGAGTTCCACCAGCGGTTTGCATTGGGATGCACTTGTGGGACAGACCCATGTGTGATGAGCGGTGCAGCTTCACCCCTTGCAGCGTTGGCTGCAGTACCTGTGAGGCCATGAACCTCGTCTTGTTTGAGGATGCTATGATGCATCTGCGGGTTCCTAAGCAAATCTCGCACAACGCGGCCAAGTTCTTATGTGATGAGAAGGTGCCGTCAGTGTAACGTGTTCTGAGGATGCGTATCAATCGAACCATTCGACAAAAGCGTGGCAACGCCGCAGCCTTTGCTTATGACTTGAGACGCGCGCAAACAAGTGCTCAATCGCCTCGTCTGCAAGACGCGCGACTCAGAGCGCTCTTGCTTCTGGCCCTGTGCGGAAGAGCAAGTGGTGCCAAATTTCTTTTGGCTACAAACTGCAAGGCCATGTTGGTCGGAGTTGGCGGAAGCGGCTTGACACTTAGCGGGTTTGGATAAGCTGCATTGTGAGTGAAGTCCTCCCTCAATGCGCACGCAACGAAGAGCAGTGTGCATGGCCCGCTTAGTATTGCAGCGTGCCAGGGCTAAAGACGATGTAAGGTTCGTGACTGACTTTAAGAGTTGCGTCCGTCCCTCTGAAAAGAAGGCAGGCAAACGGGATCTGTGAGCTACTGCGAAGCCCAAATGCTTGTTGAAGTGCTGAATGAAGTTGGCTATGAACCATTCTGGTATCACACCTGGCCAGGTTCACCCCTTACATTCTCATGCAGAGATCAGTCAGTTGCATCCAGCTGCTAGTATCCGACAGTACGGTGATGCGTATTTGCGCTTAAGGGCCTTAACTCCCACAAGGATTCTTAAGACGTTTTCGTGATGACAGATTGTTTGAGCTTGTGTCTGGGGGTGTTCGATATAAGGATCCTCAATGAGCGGTAGTGTTGTGTGCGAGCACGAGTAGTGTTTGCAAGAACCTCAGAGAGCCAACTGGCAAAGCATATCAGGGAGGATGATAACAGAGAATGCCACCAATCTAGTGCATGGTAGCAGCGACAATGTAGGGACAAGTAGCGGGGTGTCAGCGAGCCATCACGAGATCTCAGGAAAAGACGCGTGCTTGATGTTTACGCCGTGTCATACATTGTGTGCGGCAAAAACCTGTCGAGCATGTAGCACTCCAATGATTGAAATGTGTGACGGTGGCAATTCTGGAAGCACTGTTGGGAAAGATTCCATGACACATCCTGCAATCCCCCAGTGTCCTGCTCAATTCGAAAACGTTGCCACCTGAATTTAGAAAAGCAATCCTTGAAAAATATGTGCCCTATTCTCGTGTTTTCTGGGCATTTCTCTGCAATGGTCTTCATCCAGGGTTGTTGCTTGTTCTTCATCCTGTCATTGTTTGAGCAGCAGACTTGCTGGCCAAAATTGCCTTGCAACGCTTCAGGGTAAAATTTGTTTTGTGTATTAAACGAGTTGGGATTCTCGCTGTATGTCATGGTAGTCATGTCTAGCTGTAAGAAACAGCGCCTTCATGCTGGTAACTCCAGATCTAAGTCGCCTGGCTATACAAGTAAGAAGCTGGAATCCTAAGCCTGAAGAATCTGAATTGCGAACTGGTTGTAAGAACGATTAATCACGATCATAGGCTTCAGACTGAGCTCGTGATTTGTAATTTCCGGTTTCATACAAGCTGAAACACCCCGCCAATTATTTGTAGCAGTCTTTTCGCATCCGATTGAGACCTAGGGCGCATCTTTAAGACTAAGCAAGAGACGCGTTTGGCAACCGATAGTTCGTTGACATCATTCCATGCAATCAGAGGTCAGCTAATGAGCCACACAGGCCGGCAGGACCACAGCCCACGGCAGCGGCAAATGCCAACTCACCGTCGCAATGTCGCAATGTCGCAATGGCAACGCAAGTCTGAGGACCTCGAACTAGCGAACGCTAGGTCGAGCTTCAGCCTTGCTTTAGCAGGATATGGTGCAGCCAGCCCTGAAGCCCTCGAGAAGTTATTCAAGAAGCCCATTGACGGTAAGGAGGGAAGGACAGGAGCAGATGTTAGAAGTTGTTAGGCAGCATCGACAGACCTTTGAATCGACTGCGTTTAATTCAGCGTTAGTTCCAGTATCTGCAATGTGTGAACCATGCCACATGGCATATTTTTCGAGCACTCAGCAAGCAGGAATCTGCCGCTGTTGAAGACCTCCAGATGCTGCACGTTACACTGCCCAAACAACCTTTGAAAAGCTCCAGACATTCTGACTTTCGGAACATCTGCCTATCTTCAAATGCTACATTCCTTAACGCTTGGTAACTGCAGGGATGCAGCCGCAGTCCCCAACATCCCCCGCGCATGCTTTTGAAGCATGACCCTATCTGACCCATCATGTCTGATGAGCCTTCAACTGCTGCCACATTGGTATGGTATGGTAAGACCGAACAGCTACACCCTTCCTACCTGGGAGGGCAAGCTGAGCCTGCCAGATACCAAGGGAATGCCCCACTTGATGTCTACGCAAGCTGTGCTAGCAGCGACATGACGCAGGTCTTTCTGTGGCCACCGGGTGCGTAGCACGAGTTCTCAGCTAAAGGCAGTTCGAAAACATGATCCCACAAACTTCTGGGACTGTCGCCATGCCTCTGGCTCCCCATACAAGAGCTGAAGAAACAATCGTTCATCTGTACGCCGGGGGCACGCAGCAAGGCTGGCGTAGGCTGCTTCCACAGCACACCGAAAGAGGAGATGCAAAATGCTGGCATTCTGCACTCCGCATCCAGGGCAGGTGATGGTCAATGGCATGTCCTTTAGTCCTAGAAGTGGCAGCGGCCACCTGGCAACCAAGCTGCTCGCGGTGACTCAATGTCGAAAAGTTCCCAATCCAGCTTCAACGTGTAGTACCCCAAGTCACTCAGTGAGCTGCCAAAGCCTGCTAAGGGCACCGGCGTGCATGCAACCAAATTTCTCCTGTCGTACACAAGCAGTATGGGTCGCACGACTTGCACCCTGTACTTGCGGATTTTCTTGCGCAGCACGGCAGCATCCCTGGCGGCCTGAATTTCGTGAGGTCCGAACATGTCACGCTCCTCCAAACTGGGGATGGGCTGGTGCAAGTCAGACTGCTCAAACAAGGCACGCACTTGTGAAAACCACGTGTGGCAAGGTAACCCTTACAGGCACTCCATCAGCCTGGCCGTGAGGTGTTCCTTTGGGAAAAGAAATACCCTGGCCACAGCTAAGGCAAGCTACAGAATTAGGCAAGTGCCTAACCTCATTTCCCAGCCACACTGTGCTACTACGAGGTGCCACTTCAATGCGCTGTTAGCTTAGCTGTGTCCCCTCGACCAGCAGAACCAGCTGTTGTTCTCCACCTCACAGTGGGTTGTTAGGTTTTAAGGAGCCTGTAATGCCTAACCGCAGAGCATAGCATCTCTGAACTGCCCCACCGAAGAATATCCTTGCAGCGCCCATCGGCAGGGAATATCTACAGTGCCCCCTGCCTTGCCCATTTGCTGCGTATCCCTGCAGTCCCCTACCGCAGTGTATCCCTGCAGCACCCAACCGGACGGTATCCCTCCAGGCCCAACTCCACAGCATCCCTAGAACCCTCACAAGGGGCCTTCACAGCCCTTATAACCGAACATAACCTAACAAAAAGACCCTAGGTCGTCAGTAAAACCCCTTGAAAGGACCTTACATCCATAACCCTTCAAAGTACCCTACCCCAAATCATCTTTATATATCTTTACAACACAATTTTAAAGGACCCTATAAAGCCTTTCTAAAACCATGAAAGGACCCTATGTAATATTATAGGCCTTACCTGCTTAAAGGAACCGAATGACCCTTGTAACCCTCTAAAGGGACCCTATGTACGCCTTGTAGCACCTGTGAAGGACCCTATAACATATTCCGTCTAACCCTTTTAATAGGGACCCTATGTACGGCCCTATGGCCGTTGTAAAGGGACCCTATACAGCTGGTGTAACTCCAATTTAGGCCTTATAGGCATTTGAAAGGAAACCTGTATGACCTTTTTCGCGGAGCATAGGCTTCATACCCTTTGGAAGAGACCCTATATAGCCCTCATGACCTAGGCCGCATAACTTCGGGAAGGGCCTTCTGTGGCCGAGTAAGATTAAGCAGAATCGGTCAGCAACTCTAAGTGCCGGACAACCACACCTTAGGGTGCGGATGCTCGCAGTAAAAGATGTTTTGGTCCCCTGCTTTAGATTTTCTGACAGATATTTGATTTTTTTGACGCCTCATCTGAAGCCAACCATCAGTTTTCTAGCGCGCGCACTGGGAGATTCTGCTCACAGAGTCCTAGCCGAAGTCATCTCCCAGATCACTACCGCGGCACCAGTCAACTCAAGCGTCAGTTTTTGTTGCATTCATGGAATCATGGTTTTCACCTCACCATCAATCCCTTTGTATCATATACAATCGACATCTTGAATCACAAAACCGTTTCAATTGCCATGCCACCATCACCTCAGCGTTAGCTGGATCACCATCCACATTTCCGGATCTTCTCTCAACATATCCAAGGATCAACGACAACATGTTTATTTAGCTGATCATTATCATTCTCGGCGTCGTAGTGGAACCTCTTCTTTCTCCTCGTCCTGCTTCTGCCGCTGTTCATGCCCTGCCGCAGCATCATGTTGAGCGCCAATCCTAGTTTTCACAGAATCACCAGGCCGCATTTGCTTTATCGTCCATCTTATCTGCTACTAGTATCAGCTCTTAATCTTTCCGCTCGCTATGGGCTTGGAAGCCCCAATAGCTGGCACTTGGCATGTATGGATCTTTCGATGCTTTTCGTGCTTCAGCGCTTATGCAATGCCTTGACATCCTGCAACATGATCTAGTAAAAACGCTGACACAACAAGTTGCTTGGCGATCGCACAAGGCATGAGTCGCAAGTATGTTTCGGCATTCGTGTTCAGGCAAGCAGTCACTGACACGCCTGGCGGCGTTCATTTCTGGGCACTACTTGTTCCAGATTACCATCACCAAGACCTACAGACAGGGCCTTGGTTTGCAGCATGGCCCAGGTGACTACCGATGCATGTTGCCAATATCCTGCACTGCGGCACCCCGTCTGGACTCTTTATAGGTGTTGTGCTAGACGGATCCCAGGAGAGGCTCCAGAAGACTGAAAGAAGACTGGCTAAACTATTGGCTGCTCAACAGTCTCATTTTGTGTTGTAACGGGGTGACGTTTGCAGGAGCAGGGGAATGTGCATGGATCATGCAGCCGACCGCTGCTCACACGTCCGGCAATACTGAGGTGAGCTACAATTCATGGAGGAGCCGCAACTTTCTTCGTAGAATGATGCCACATCCTGCATGTTGACATGGTAGCGCAGGACCTCAAGGAGTTGTACATCACTGCAGGTCAAAAAGATGAGGAGAAGTGCAGATGCAGGTGGCCAACGGGAGCCGCTTACATGGCAGGATGTCACCTTCATTTTCACCGACCAAGACGTGATCAACGAGAACTTCCTGGAGATCATGAATTCCATTTTGGCAACCGGCGAGGCAGATTCATATGGGCATGGTGAGCCTAGAGGTAGTGCTAACTAATCGCTTTTGAGAAGCAGGATCTTCCTGGGGAAATATGTGTTTTGTTTTTTTTGTTCGCGATCTTTTTTCGTGGGGCGAGGGGCTTTGTTTCCGTGGATGGAGGCCATGAAGGAAGGACGGAAGAATTGAAGTGGAGTAGGAGAACGGGGATAAAGACATAAAGAATCAAACCAAGGAAGCAAGAAAGAGCGAAAGATTGAAAAACAAGAAAGAAAGAAATATACTCAGAGAGAAAGAAAGAATGCAAGCAAGAAAGAATGAACTCAATAAGAAATAGAAGTCATAGCTATGAAGGAAGAAAGTTTTCTTACGACAGGAGAAAGGAAGAAAGACAAGAAAACAGAGATGAAAAAAGACAGTCAGAACTAACGATATGAAAAAGGAAGCAAAACAAAGAAGCACACACATACAGCAGTTAACTTCCATTAGGCACTGGGCATTAAGTTTTATTCGCATGGTTCTCACTTTTGTTCCTATTGCTAGGAGTGTATTGTTTACTTCTGTGGCTAATGTTACTCTCCTAATCTCTGCTATACTATTACTACAATTCTTATCGCTGTACGTAACTTTTGTAGCCATGATTATTGGCGTTGTCATGTTTCACGATTTTTCTTTCATTTTTACCTCATGGCTCATCGCCTTTCACGCATGTCCCACATTTGTTCATCATCTTCCCTCAAGTTCGTATCTTTCAGTCACTTCTCAGCATGTTCATCAAATTTTAACATGTTTGATCAGCTGGAATCACTTTTCAGCATTGCTCATCAAATTTCAGCACGTGTTTCAGCATTGCTCATGATTGTTGATGATGTCATTGCTTTTCTGTCATTTGTCGTGACTTTCCATGATTGTCCAGCATTTTTCATTAGGTCATAGTACATCACATCTCTCATGTATCATCATGCTTCAACGTATCTTATTTCAGTATGATTCACCATCTTTTCATCATGCAATATCTTCTTGAGCGTTCCTCATGATATGTCACCATCTTTCATCATCTTTCATTAGTTGTCATCTTTTCTCAACATGTTCATCATATCTCATCATCATCATCACTTGTCATGCTTATTTGCTATGTTTCCCTTTTACGATTTGGAGGGGTCGCTGCGCCCACCCCCCCCCCCCCACTCCCCCCCACGCCCCAATACTTGCTTGAATCACAGCTCATTATTCGAGGTTGGTCCGTCGCAGTTCATCATTGTTTGTCTGTTTGCATCATGACAGTCCAATCTTTGATTTAATTGGCACCCCACCACCCACCGCAAAAACACGCACGCAGTGTAAAAGAAAAGCAAAGACAACAACCATCGCCACGCTTCTTCCTATAATGCTCCCACCCCCCGCCAAAAAAAGACACCGCTTCCTAAAGAAATCAAAATCATGGAAACCCAGAATCAGTGGGGGTTGAGATAAAAGGTGGAGTCAGCACAAGGAGTAATGTTTTTTGGCCTTCGTGCCCCAGAGCTTCATTGTTTTTATGAGGTCTTAAAAGAATGGAATTCAAGTATGTTGTTGATTCCTCGTACTTACCTTTACAAGGCTCGTATAAAGAAACCTACAGACACGGGCATCTAAATGGAATAAGTGGCTCGCTTCGTATCCTAGACTTCTTGTTTGTATAGGTTTTTCCAGACAAGCTTAAGTAAATTTCCTAGGTTGCTGATGGTTTATGGGAGTTTTACACAGGATCTTGAACCAACGAATCTAGTCTAAGTGGTTTGGATAGAGCTCCCATCCAAGAATATATTGAAAGGAAGTCTAGTTCGAATCAGGAATCCCCGTCTTTTCCTAGGTTTTTGTAGTTGTCATCACGGATTGAAGGAACTAGCAGAAAAGGCTACAGTCTGCAAGAAATCTAGGTAGAATTACGGGTCTCCTTCATTTCGTGGATTTGGTCGTTTTTTTGCCCTGAGCATGGCTATTTCCTCGGTTGGAAACAGGTTGCTTAGTTACTGGAAATGGAAACCGCATGGGCCCGGTAATTCGTCACACTCAAAAAAGTTTCCTGTAGTGAAACCTCCCGGGAAGATTTGTTATGAGAGTAGAGTGGTGGCGTGACTTATCATTGCGGCATTGCGGGGATGTGGCTGGACCTAACACGTAATCTTACCAGGTTGTGGGACTGCTGCAGAAGGACGAAAAGGAGACTGCTATCAACGAGGCAGGGAGTACATCGCTACATCCAGCGACTGAGTTGTTTGGCGTATGCAAGTGGTCGGCTTGCTTTTGGCTCAAGCTGCCCAGCTGCGATAAATGGCAAACCCATTGCAAGCAGCTGGGATGAGCCTGCCGGCTGTCGAGGCTCCGCTTTGACTGCTTTCTGCTGGCAGTTGTCAAAACGTTGGCCAGATAAGCTTTATAGTCACGAAGCTCGAGCGACATGCAAATATAGCTTAGCAGCACATGCTGGCCGACCATATGCCTGTTGACTGCCAGTTTTCTGACTGCCTGCTCGTGAGCGGAGAGAAACCTGCGCAGGCATAAAGTCCTTGGAAGCCACAGGGACAGAAGACAGCAATCAAAGTCAAGATAGCGAGCTGGTTCAGCACAAACCTTCCAACTCCTTGTTTGGGATCTACCCTGCCGCAATGGTTCAAGGCGCTTCACACCATGGAGCAGTCCCGATGGACACAGGATCATGCTCAAACTCCAGCATGGCCCTGTATACCTAAACTCTTAGGTATTATAGTAGACAGAGTCATGCAGGACTTTATTTGCTCGAACGTGCAACTGAAGGCACCCTTATCCCATTCCGACGGGTTGTACTGGCATGGGGATGGTTATGCCCCTCCTCTAGCCCTTCTGGAATGTGTGTACAAAACATACCGCTCGCTTGCCAAGCTTGGCGGCAAACAGGGAATGGCTGGACGAGCAGGACGCGGGACGGAAGATAGATCAAACCCAAAGCGAACGGAGTCAATAAGAGAGGCTCAGAAGCAAGGCAAGAGCGGGTTTGGGGGCCAGAAGGGCCGGGGCAAGCGAAGGAGTGTCTGGGAAGCGGAACCGGACGTTGTCTTTTGCCAGATTTCCGAGACGGCACCCTGTAGGAAACACGTTCACGCGGAGGAAATCCTAGTTGGAGCCTGCAGCCCGGAGCGTCGTTTGTCTGCATGGGCTTGGCAAAAAAGCAAATCTTCAAACAGTGGCCTTGGCAACAGAAGACTAATGCAGAAGCCATATTCCCTGCACTTTGCAGAACAGGCCAAACATGCAAGCCCGAAGAGGCCATACATAACGTTACATGTTAGGGTTTGCTTCTGATTTAAAATGATTCCAACAGATGTAGCTTTGTCATGTAGGTTACCCCACTTAGAAATCGGGTTGCGAGCGCGAATGGCTACAAACCCTTCTGGTTCTTGCTGGGGTCGGTTTTGTGGTAGGGCCTGGCTTTGGGCGAGGGGCAGGGCATGGGGAGCGCGATGGGATGCAAGGGGACCAACCCTCAGCAGCCCTTCCACGAATTTTCACTATGGCAATGGATATCACCATGGCTACTGGCGGCTGATCATTGGTTAAGGGGGCTTCTGAGTAATTGCCTCGTCCTTTGGTGGGTTCCAATTGTACTCAACTGAGCTGGATGATTGGCGGCAGGTATCCACATCAGCACAGAGCACGCGGTCTTGCATTGATCCTTTGCTTTAACTTGCTGCGGGGCACATTGTACATGTTGCACCTGGCCAGTTTTAAGATGTTTCTCACCCAGGAGAGATGGCTATCGCCTATGACAGAGAACGGCTTCCGGAGCGGCGGCTGGGCCTGAACCCTTGCTGTGGCATTTTGCGAATAGAAGCACTTTGGCCATAGCCCCATCAGTCAAATGACTCCAGAGCATGTCAAGCTACACGTTGGTTAGCGAGTACCTGGAGAACTCAGGAATGCTGACTTTGACAACAACAGCGCTTGGTGGCGGTGTACTGTCTGTATCCTTTGTGCATGGCTCAATTGTTTGCATCGTTCGGCTTGTGTCAGTTTTTGTAAGAGGGTTGATACCAAGTAAGGTCATGAACATTTGCGGAGTTGGCTTGGGCTGCTTGATGTTGATGACGGGCGCCCTCCTCGCTTACCTTGGAATGGAAGCCTTAATGGACATGTCCTGTCCTCGGCATGCTATGTGTACAAGGGGTGCGTCTGGCCAGCAAGATTGCCATGTCTGAGGAGCATACGGACAAACTGCAACTCCTATGCAGCACTTTTCTCTCACTGCGCCGGACCAAAAGCAGGCTGAAGCTTCTTGTGAATCAGAATACTTGTACATTAAACACACGGAAACAAGGTTCGAGGGCGCCGTAGCACTCTACATATTATATATACATAGATACAGAGCTCCGTTGTATGGGCGGGACTAAGTTGGCTCTCTTTGCGGCTGACATATACTGGGTCCACAAGAGAGGAGGAAGGGGCTCGGGCGTGTGCCCTGACAGGGCCGCAAGGGTCCTTTCAGCCCGCAGAAGAAGCAGAAGAAGAGAGCGAGAGAGAGAGAGAGAGCACTTTTTGGTTTTGCCCTTCAACTAGGCCCCATCTTGGACGCAATGCTCTTCATATATGGTAATGGTGCATGTGCATGGCACTCAGGGTTTATGTGGGGTTCAGGCTGCAGTGATGCGTGCATGGTGCTGGTCAAGTGAGGTAGGATACATGGTCTTCATTGGCGATTTCGTACCCAACATCATAGCCTTGATTTTCCCGGAGAGCTGGGCGCAAGACACAAAGGGTTGCCCGGCGTTTAGAAGTTGCAGCCTGTGCGGCATTTTCGGTGCAGCCTGTGGTTTCTGGCCAAGGCCCAACACGAACTTTTTCAATTCTTGTGGCAGCGGTCCTGTGCTCATGATGCCTGCTTTGATGGGCTGCATGGTCGCCCCTCCTTGTCTTCATGTGTGAGGTGCTGCTGGTGCCCATGATGCTTCCCAACGACTTGTCCAAACTGAAGTTCCTTCAGCCGGTGTCTATCATGTCGCTGTTGCCGCTAGGCTCTTTTGTAGCGTGCAGCAGTTGGTATTCCGCGGCATCCGCGGCAACAATAACTAGAGCCGTTAGGCTGCAAGAAACCTGGTGAGGTACATGTCCATCGTCGTGGCCTGCAAATGTCCAGGAATGTTCCAAGCCACTCGGATGACATGAAGATTGACCCAAAGATGCACTGGGCAAAGCTCCGCGATGCCCGCGAAAAGAAACCGTATCGGCAAGTTTTTCGAGCAAAAACAGATCCTACTGGTGTGGTTCCGCATCACTGTCAGCCGTTGGTCAGCTTTGCCAGACTGGCCACTGGTAGAATTTAGCCCAGGCCAAGTGGACTATTCGCAAACTTTCTAGCCAAAACTGCATTCCGCCCTCTTTTTTTGTTCGTGTTGAGGCGTGAGGGACAGCAAGGAGTTCAGAAACCCCAAATATGCGAAGCCCGAGCCTCATAAAAGATCCTCATGAGAGGCATTGGCACAGAGGCAAGGCCAGGGCATCAACACGCAAAGGTGCATCAACGCGCAAAGGTGTCTGGTGATGGCTTACTTTCCTTCAACGGCTATGTTTCCACCATCAAGTCCCCTGACCGGTTGTGATTGTTGATGTCATCGCTACTGTCGCCATTGTTCACGAATTTTGTGGCTCTGGGACAGCTCTTGCATTCCTGGTTGGGGCTTTCAGGGATTCTAAGGGCCCAACATCCCCGCCAGAATCACAGACAATATCATGACAGTTCTTGTTCTTGCTAGTTTGAGATGGCGGTGGCATTGCAAGCATTAGTCCGACGCTTGTTGCCGTCATTGCAATCAAGCTTGTTTCTGCTATTCTTTGTGCAGTTGCTCTTTTACGAGTGGTTTTCCTGAATTTGTTTGCGAGTTCCTGAATTTTTTTACAGTGTTTATAATGACTATGACTGCTGCAACTCCTACCACCACTACCACTACCGCTACCGCTACCGCTACCACTACTACAGTTGCACAGCGTACCTTGACCCCTGCGTTTTTAACACATGTAACGCTTCAGCTGAATGCAGTGCCAGCTATCAGAAACTCAGATCTTTCTCTCAAGCAGCAATATTCAATTCTTCGAGTTCGTCAGTGGTAAGCAGTCCCAACTCAATTGTATCTCACTTGTATTTCTTAAGTGGAGAAGAGAGTTCTCTTCCGTTCGTAGGAACAGAGGTTTCGTTCTACAGGTGGCCTAATTACCTTGGCTACTTTGGGCTGTATATGGTCCAATCCTGGGCTCCTGTTCTGTTCGTTTTTCTGTGATACAAATTCTCAAGTCTTGGGCTTTTTTTTGCCTGCCTATAACTCTATATAAGCCCCTTGTTAGGAATATGGTCATGGTCTCCACTAGATGTAGTATTCTGAATAATTGCTAATTCCTTTCGAAAGTTGAGACACATTTACTGTACTCAAGAAACAATTTCCGGAAAAGAAGATGCATTCCTCTTCAAATTTGACGTGCATTTACTATGGGATTTATACATAGAAAATATGGCAAACAGGAGCCCTGGATTCCAGAATTCCTGCTTAGAACTGTACATGTAGTGAAGGAGCAAATGGTGAATAGCAAGAACCTTGGATTTGAGAATTCCTTTTTAAATTTGAAGCACAGGTTTACTTAAAGTCAATGTAGTAAAGGCTGTTGTAGACAGAAAGCTGAGGACTTGCGACCGCTTTTCCATGCTCTAGAACATGGGTTCCGTTCTAGAACGAAAGTAGGTATGTAGCAAGCGTAGATGGGAAAACGCGTAAAGTAAAACCGAAAATGACATCCCGAAAACAAACAAAAACACCCAAACAAACAGAGCCATAGTCCTGGGGTCCCAGAAATGGTAAAAATTCCCGAACGACAAAACCACAAGAAACCAACAAAAAATGCTGATTCCATATCCTTGGAGCCTAAATACATGGGGTTTGGATGTTTGATGGGTTTGTTTTTTGGGTACTTACGGTCATTTTTTGATTCCTGGAGACCCAGGACTCAAAAAACTGCATGTTTTTTGTGGCTTTGGGATCTGTGGATGTGCGTTGTCTTTTTGTTATGTTGTTTGTTGTGGGTGTCTTTTAGTCATGTGCGGCGTATTCACTTTCATCAGTAGCTAGTCGTTTTGCATACGTTGCCATGGATACTCTCGGGCATTCTCAGATGTAGAGAGCATTGTTGTCCCACACAACCGTATATATCAAATAGTTACATAAATTGTAAAAATGCAAGGGTCGAGATAGCACAATTACTGCTACTAGTAGCAGTAGTAGTAGTGGCAGTAGTAGTAGCAGTAGTAGCAGCAGTAGTAGTAGTAGTAGTAAGTAGTAGGAGGAGACCCCATAGAGATTTAGACAAGCAGGTTCAAGGGGTGACCTGGCTGTGTCTCCACGGGACGCTTTCAACCCGAAGTCGTGCAGTGGCTGTGAAAAAGAATGGCCAATGGCCTCCCTGAGTTGCAACAAGCTCTTCAGCTTAACGTAGAGACCAACATAAAATTTCATGCTAGACCAAGAAAAATCTTGTGTTAGACCCTCCGAAAGCACCAAAAAACTAATGTTTTTGCATGTAGGAAACCTGGTAGCCCGAAAAATCCTAAAGTTCTCGTCCTCGAAATGCCATGCAGGCTGCTGTTTGGAGTAAGCCGGTGGCAAACTGGGGGTTCAGGGCGTCGCGCCAGGCCAATGTCACGGGTATATGCATTTTTTTCGTTTTTTCTTGAGAAGGTGCATTGAACATATCCTGTTTATCAGGGTGCTGAAAGGTGTCTGTTTGAAGTCTCAGGCAAGATACCTACGTTGCTAAGCACTGTTTTCGCTCTTCGATCCATTAGTCCAAGGTACGCCCCATGAGTCCAAGGGATTGAGGAGTCCTGCAATCTATTCGCAACAGGTTTTGAGTACTTGGGGTTCAACACGTCTGTTTCGGATTTAGGTTCTCAAGTGTCAATTATTGGGGTCTGTTTTTCGCTGAGAACTTGAAAAATGATAGAATGTGGGCCTGTAATATACTTTTATTGGAGATTTGCTGTCCAATGTGTCTTAACTATGAAGTCCAGCCCTTATGCTTGGCTTGAAGCTCCGAAATCCGAACTCCGAACCCTCCCTGACACAGCAGCTTCGAGTTCTAAGGCGACCAAGAAGAGTCATACTTCCATCTGACTATGCATTTTTTCAACGGGAAAGCCTCAAGAGTACTTGGAATAAGAATACTTACATCATGCCATTCCTCTCTTCAAAAAGGGAGGCGAGAGGACTCTTTTTCAAAAGGGGAGGCCCTTGCGAAAAAGAAGTACTGTCAAAATCAAGCTGTTCCTCTATTGACAAGTGGAGAGCTCTAAGTTGACCCCGAAGAATGATATTTTCATATACTCATCACGCTATGAACCAAGAGGGCTGGACTAAAAATGCTTACGTCATACTATCCTTTTTCAACAGGGAAAGCCTTTGGGGAACCTTGAAGAATATTACTTACATCATGCTCTTCCTTGTTTGGCAGACCCTAAGAAGAACAGCACCACCGAAAATGAGGCTGATTTTCCTTCGACAACAGGAAGCCCCAATTAACGGCGACCTCCAAGAATGATACTTTATGATATGCCTGCTGCGTAGAAAAGAAAGCGTTAAGTGGGATCTTAAAAAAGAACTTACATTATAGTAGCTCTGTTTTTAGGAGGGGGAAGCCAGTGATTTCAAAGTAAGGCTTCCAGCATGATACTGGCACGACGTTATGTGCAACTGGAGGGGTGAAATTCTGAAAGGGCTCTCACACGTCATGCTTGCAGTCTCCCATTGCGAATTTAAAGGGGTTCCTCCTGACAGAATACCGCCAAAGCCACTATACGTAAAGCAGTCTGCAGAGTCTGCACCTGCACTTGGCGAGCCTTGAATCTTACGGTGGACTGGTCCGATCCAAATCCACTTCAGGGTTTCACAGGGACTGTCAAAGAGAACAGGTCCCTAGTTTCAAGCCGAAAATGTCTCCAAGCGTTGTCAACACTGCCATGCAGTTCGCACCAACGAGCCAGCTGTTCTCTCTATGCTCCTCACGGGACCACACAGTACGGATGCTAGAGAATTCTGGCCATTTACTGCGCTCAACTCATAAAGGCGGTTCGTGGGGAACTTTACAAAATTCCGGCACGCTCGTGAGTTCCAGGGCGGAACTTCTGTCAGAAAGTGCTGGCCGGGATGCTTCTGAAGCACCGCCAGCTCCAGAAGAAACAGTTGCCCTTCCTCAGGCTGCTCAGAGGCGTTCTTACTCTTACCACCTACAATACAAGCCCATCGATGTTAGGCGTTGTTTTGTTGGGGCGGAAGGGGGGATGGGTGTTTGCTGCTGGGGCAGAGGGCGCTGTTTTTTTGCTTTTTGCCCGCCCGGCCCAACAGCACCGCCAGCAAATAAAAGAACATGCCGCTGCCGAAAGAAGCTCGCGTGCAAACCACAAAGCAGACCAGACAAGAAAACACACACACACACACACACACTTACTTACCCCAACCATGTTAACTTCGATGTGAACAGCCTATTCATTTCCACGTACATGGTCGCCCCAAATATGTTGCGCTAGCAGCATGATAACTTCCGCGTGACACGCATCATAACACAACCATTCCTGTGAGGCCACGTTTCCGGTGCAACTAAAAGAACAAATTCCCTTACCGCAAACACTGCGGGTGCCAATGCAACGGCCCTCAAACAGCAGCACCTCTTCAACAGATAGGCAACAGCATTGCGCGTCATGAATTCCGGCTTGCGGTTTCGAACAACGTCAAACAAAACGCGCTTGGCCACAAGCCAGAAGACTAATCGAAAGAGACGGCGAAGATTCAGACATATTCAGACGATTCCACCGTGTGCGTGAGAACGTAGAAAAACGTCCACTTGGTTATGCTGATGACTGAACGACTTGTTCAATCAAAGCGCAAACCAAAGCGGTTTCTGCAAACTGCCCCAAACACCGGAGAACATTTTGGGGATAAGACGGGATCCAGAATAAGTTGCATTGAGCAACAGGACCTGCAGAGGTTACTTGTGACTTTCGCCTTCTGCACCCTTCTTCCTACTGGATGAACTTGGTACTGACAGATCTAAAAAGCGTGAGCTGTCTTCAAATGCTTTCTGTTTAGTGCAACCTTTGCTGCAACTGTCGAAGGAGATCTTCTGCTTCTCAGGCATTTCGAAAATTTCAAGCAAGTTTCTGTGAAGCTTGCGAGGAGTTCAAGAAATTTGACATTAACTACCGTGGAGGACTTAAGATCTCTGCACATTTCTTGATTACGTCAGCTCCGAATTTCAAACCTCAGTTGGGAATATTTTTGCGAAGCCATTCGCGCTCTTCCCCAAAGATGAAATAGCATGACTTAAGCAAATGAAGCAGGATAGCAACGACTGCAGCGTGCTTTGGGCTAGAGGAGTAGTTCTTCAGTACAGTGATGTTCCTGTGCAGTGGATTTCCATCGTCTCATTTGGTCCTCGAATTTGAACAGCCCTAGTGATGCGGCAACATGCTGCTGTGGGGTGGCGTTGTGCTGCTGGGTGGGTGTCCTGTGCATGTTGTTGCGCTGGCAGTTGCCCGGACTCGAGAGCGCGCAGAGAGAGAGAGAGAGAGAGAGAGACAGAGAGAGAGAGAGCCCTCTCCATGTGGGGAGGGTAGAGCAGGGAGAAGAAGAAGAAGAGCAACGACTGCACCCCACACCTGCTTGAGAAACTTGATGATGGGGAGAGTGAGCGCTCCTTTTTTCAGCGCGGTCCGGCTGCAACAAATGAAAAGAGCCGTTTCGTGCGGTTTTGGCATGTTAAGTGGTGGCTGGAGGGGAGAATGGACAGTGCACGTTTGAAGCCCTCAAGCCGCAGCGGTAATTCCGAACCGAATGGAGAAGCATGAGGCTGTGAGGTATCGCAGCCATGAGGCGAACGGTAAGCCTACTTCTATTTCCGTACCGGAAAGATGCTGAACGATATGAAGTGATAAGACCGCATCCGACGGAAATGTTCTGTCATCCATTACTGGCGTAGTGCGTGCTTCAATGGACAGTGGCCACCTTTTTGTGCAGAGCAGGTCAACAGAGTAGCCAATGGACCTCTGAGAGTGGCGACCTTCTCAATACATTTCTTCGAGGTTTCATGCCGCATGTCACCATGATAACGGTCCGGTTTGCATTTGAACAATGCTGATGTATTCGCCACAGACATGCATGTGACAGGCATTTGCTTTGTGCGTCTTCGCCTTCAACTGCCACCTGAACGTGATACCCATAGCAGATCGCTTGGTCCGCCCGACGCGAGACCGAATGAAGAAAGTTTCAGCTCGTGTGAATATATTTCAGTGCGCCTTCTACATTCTGATCGGCGTGACTGGCTCCTCAGTCTCTACACTACACCTCACGTTGCGAATTTGTGCGCTTGCAAGGCATGCATGCAGGCACTTTTGTCAGCACACACGCTCAGGCTATTTCTCCTTTCTGGACAGAACTCGCTCTGACATTTTGGAGAACTATGACCCTACGGACCGTGTTGTCGATGGTCTATTGTGCATTCTTTTGTGCATGTTCGGTGCATTCATCAGTATCACTGCTGCAGTAGCTCTTGTACATTCTTTTCCCCCATCACCTCTTGAGCTCCCCTCGCTGACCCTACGAAGGACTACTTGGTAGCTGCTGGCCGTTGCTTCCTGACCCTCACCATGATGGCAGCCTGACAAATCAGCAATTACTTGGGGAAATCTGTTTCAGGTGGCTGACGAGCCCACAGTTTGTTGAGAAAATGTCTTGGCATTGCACTAGAATCGCATGCAAACAGCATTCACGCGCGCACCTCCTAGTGTACAGCGGAGAAACTCTCGACCTTGGGTACACAAGATGTGCTATCGTGCTCGACATTCCCGGAGGCATGCAAGCCTAAGTCCAGCATGTGGTGATGCAGATGGCGTATTCTTAACAGCGTCCTGCTGCGCCGATGCTGTTGGAGCTGGGGCTTCTAGGGACGACATGCCGACGCTCAAGAGAGGATCAATGGCGCTCATTGCTACCTTCCATGTAGCATTCAAGGTAAGTGCTTTCGAATGGTGGATCCGCTTTCTTGGCACTTGCTGGATGTTCCTTATAGGGTACCTAGACGACTCCTTATATACAAGTGCGTGCCCTTCATATCTTTGCCTGGGCCGCTTACTGGTAGCATGGTTCGATCTTTTGATCGTGAAATGGTTGAGAGAGCATCACTTGGCTTGACAGCGCGATTTGAAAGATCGAGTTCACAGGAAGGAGTGAGAAGCCTCCCTCAAAAGGGTGTGGATGTTCAAGCATTTCAGGCCATGAATGTTGTAGCATGCCTGTCAATTCCCAGGTCGCTATTCCCGCAAATCTGAACCCAACCGTGGCTTGACTCACTTCATGTTACTCGAGCGTCCACTGGCTTTATCGACCTATCATCAACTTGTGTTCCAACGTTCCAGGTGAAATCCGGTGTCCAGCTTAAGGATTACTTGGTGAAGGCTGAGCCATCGCTGCTTGAGCAGCTTTGCTTCATTTTGAGCTTTCTGGTCGCGCTTGCCTGGTTCCTGCAGACCTGTGCCACACAATGCCAGATAAGATGGTTTCTCTGCTCAGGAGCCCATCCAACTCTGATGGGGAAGTTAGAGATCAGCCTCGCTTCCGTGACTGGGTCCTTGAACTTGAGAGGGCACCACGACAACTTGAGAGTTTACTGTTAGAATTTGGAGGGTGCATCAGGTCGCTCTGTTTGTTGAGGCATAGCCGTCTCTGTTCTGTGCCTTGCTTGCCAAGCAGCACTTGCAGCCGCTTGGCATAGCCTGGTCAAACTGCAGCTGAAATGGTGGAGTGCCCGATATCGTGCACAGGTGAACGTGCCGAATGTGGGGACAGTGCTGAGCAGCTTGACGTCTGGGTTGGACGGGCTGCGGTTTTTCAAAATCGTTCCTAATTCCAACATACCCCAACCAAGGCCTCCTGGGAGCCACAGTTGCAACCGAGTCTTGTCTCAGAGCATAACTGGCGATAACACTGTGTCGCACTGTGTCGGGTCTTCGTTGCGATGTGAACGCTCTCCTTGCAAGCGGTGAGGCCATGATGCTGATCATACCTGCCTACTGTATGGGTGTTGTCTTGGAGCGCTCCTGGAAACGCCAGATGAAGCAGGCCGAGACATGTCACAGCTTCTCATTATCAGGCGTCCTCGTTCCACAAATGAATGCGCTGCTCTCCGCATGTTCTATGGTTGTCAATCAGGTCCTGCTGCTTCTTTTCTAAAAGTTCTCCTGTTCCTCAAGAGGAAACAGCTTGATTTGTTCTTGCAAGCGCATCTCTGAAGGGAACTCACAGTTCTTAAGTGCTTGCTGTTGTCCATGCAAGGGGCACGCCGCCAATTTGCAGCATGAAGACTGAACAGTAGGCCAGGATTCAAGTTCTAATGTACAGCATGAAGAACTACTGTATCATACTGTAGCAGAGTCGGATGAGACCGATTAAGGCCGTTGGAGTCTGAACCAGACCAACAACAAAAACTTTGCAATACGCGGAAGAAACAAAGAGAAAAAGAAAGTGAAACGAAAAGAGGGGCTTAATCACTCTAGGCTAGGGTTGTGAGAAGATTCCCCAAAAAGGTGGAAATTGATAGATGATGCCCTGCTCAAAACCCAACAGAGGCCAAACCAGCAATTTTGACGCCACCTCATGTAAATTTGGGGTTGCATGCATGGTGGGACCGGAGACGGCCATTTGGAGAGACGTAGGAGGTCTGGTGGTGAGGGGTCAGCAGCCAGTTGCGGCCAGTTTCTGCTTCGCGGAAGGGCTAAGGCGGCCCACACAGAAGGGGCAAGCTGCTGCGCTCAGCAGTGTTACTAAAGCAGGGTTCTGATTATAAAGCCCCCGCACCCCCCAAAACAATTAACGATTTTACGTAATACAGGGTCCCCCAGTAAAGTTTGGAAAGAGTTGTTTCTTCCAGGGTGTAAAAGGAAGCTCAAAAGGCAGGACTCTTACAGCACATATGTAGCTCATGTGCTGAAACTCTTTGACGTCATCAGCACACCCCAGCGAACGTCACCAGGGAGAAGGAAAGGGGAAAGGGGAAGTCGGGAAGGGTGTACACCAGGAAGCGGTAGCGACGTAGCGCGACCGATCCTTAGCTGATGGGCCAGGGCCCATGAGACACAAGCGATCCTGAGTGATCCTTAGTCGCCCAAGAGATCCTTAGCAATTCTTTTTGCTGCCGCGAGCTGGTTTCTCCAACCAGCCCAAACCCTAGCTTGAGCGATGCCGTCGGCAGGACTTTTACAGAGCATGCCATTATTCCGTTTCTGCCTTGTGATTCTTCCGTACAAATTTGTTTTTGCCGGTGCCCTTTTCTTATGCCGTTTGGTCGCGATTTCGCTCTATTCCGAACCCCTTTGATAATCACCATCCAACATTCAAGTAACTTTGTTCAGCTGGATGGCAAAGCTGTGGTTTGGTGTTGCCAGTCTTGGCATTGCATTCTTAGCAACATGACATGAACACACTCACCGACTCACTGATGCAGCATGGTGCAGCTTTCCCCAGCAACAGATTCTGATACCAAGCAATCATAGGAAGAGCTCAGCCAATGCCGAACGTGTATCCCGGAGGTCGTGCTCTACGGCTGCGCGCTCCTGAGCCCTAACCTCAGCCTGTCATTGGTGATATTGGTGGGCCACGCTTGCCTTGCATTTTCGTGCCTAAAGTGCAGACCTCTTGGAGACACTAACGAGTAACTAAAGATCGAGAGAGGGGGGTACTATCGGCCATTAGAGAAGATTGCTGGCCAGCTAATCGCACTGGTTGTCTACATTCTTAGGAGATCGTAGTTTCTAGCTTTTCTCTACGGCATTGGCAGGCCCTTGCACGTTCTTCACGTAAACGGTCATGAGCAGCTCTGTCACATTGCAGGCGTAACCTCCATCCCCTTCACGCTGCTGGAAGCCATAGGACTGGTGCCAAAGCCGCGACTTGTCGTCACATCAGACCACTGGCAGATGCATGCTACAAAAGGCTTTGTAGCTTCTCCTTGTCGGCGTTTTCTGCGCATTCTGCCCAGATGCCCAGGCCTTGACCTCAACACGGACTCAGCAGTTTGAGAGAAACTTCAACAGCCATACCATTTCTCTCTGTAACCCGCTCTTTATGCCACAGATGTTGGTGGCAAGCCCTAGGCGAGCTGTACGTGAGCTTCTTTTTTTGCTGGTTGTCGGCAGCAGCTCGGCAAAGTTTCACGACTGCCAGCGAGCAACTTGCTGGGCAGCTGCGCGGAATTCGGCAAAGTTAGTTAGGTCTTGTTAATGTTGGCACTGGCTTGGCATCGGTTGGAGCCGGCCTCGTGCACAAACGATCGGTTAGGCCAGCGAGGCCGGCAAAAGCAAGTTGGCAGCGAGAATGGGGGTAAGGGGGGCTTTGAGCGCCTCTGCTTTGCGTGCAGTTCGCGTGCATCTGCAGATCCACGCTCGCCTTTGCGGCAGCAGGTGCGTGGTGACTTTGTCCGCGACAATCCCGGGGCTGAGGAGTTCGCTTCCCAGCAGCTAAGGTATGCACTGCTGCGACTTTCAAGCCTTGATCCGTAGCAGCCAATACAACTTCAATCCTAGGTCCACAAGCCGTAAGGCACTCTTCGCGAAAAGTAGCTCTACAACCAGAAGCCGGCTGACTAAGGAACAGCGTCGACGTTTATGCTTACTTCCTAAATCGGCTCCGGGACAACCTGCACGTTGTTCTCTCCTTCTCGCCAAGTGCCCAGATGTCACTCACAAGCTAGTCACATCGTTCGTGATTACGGTGCTTCCAGGCTTCAATTAATCGCATCGAGAACATGTTTAGGATATATGGTACGACATGTTGCAACAAGCTCCTGAGGCATCTGCATCCCAAATTCCCACTGCGAGCGCAGATGTTTCCAGCCGTATTCAGTGCCTTGCTGAGAAGGACTTGGGATACTTGGGCAACACGCCGTCAACCTGCAGCAAACAGTTATTACTGGAGACGTTATAGCGATGGCCAGGTGCGGTCAACATCAACTGGCTTGCTCCCCAGAAATTTTCCGTCCAGAAGTCCTGATGTTTTGAGCAGCTTTCAAGGTTCCTGCCCTGGCCGGAAGAAGCGCTGGTAGCTGTGAGTACGGACCCTGGCCCCAGTTTGTGGGCCTCGCTGATTTGTGGAACTGTTCTGTTGCAGGCGCAAGTTTCCTGAAAAGCTTCAAAATCGACACAACAGAAGAGCACCGAAACCGCGGTTGCCCCAGAGCATAATTCATGTGCAGTCACATCTCGCACCAAGCAGGCTCAACACTAGAAGTGTGCGTTTGAGTAAGGGCTGTACGAGCTGATGGGCTCTTTTCAGAATCGCGTGCGAGACATGTATTACCCTCAGTGAGATGCCAAAGCCATGCTGTCAAGAGGTACTGCAGCCAGCTGCAGCCTTTGAGGTGCGGAGTCTACCTGTCCAGGATGCGCAAGCATGTCTACGTTACGCCGAGGCACAGAGAAGTCAGACATCATGGCCCATGCGGAAGAAAGACATCCTAGCTTGCCCAAGGGGAAGTCCTTTCCTAGTGTTCTCTTCTCGCTCCCGGACATGCCTCACGACCAAGAGCAGTGGATAATTGAAGCTTCAACTCAAAGATGACACTTGTACTGTAGCGAACTTTGAATGCATGCAGTCAGGGGCTTATAAGTTGGCAAGCCCTTGGAATGCTTAAGACTGACCCATTTTTGCGTGCAGACCCCTGGGTCACCAGGAGGCAAATTGGGTGTCGTGGAGCGGTGTCAAAAAAAGGGTGGTTCTGGTGCACTTCAGCTCTCTTTTTCTGGGGCCTGCTAGTGGCTGGAATGCTTGAGTCAGGGAGTCTTCGAGGCCCTCGGCTCACTGACTTATAAATCAAGCCTTCCAGCCACTAGCGGCCGCCCACCGCTACTGGCTGGAATGCCTAAGGAGATCTTCGAGGACCGGGAAAACTTGGGAAATCTCGGAACCTGACACACACACACACACACACACTGAAGCATTCCAGCCACTAGCGGCGGCACCTGACCTGCCGCTGCCCCACTGCTAGCGGCTGGAATGCTTAAGTCAATGAGTTTGGGGCTTCCCAAGGTCTCGGAAAACCTCAGAAGACCTCGGGGAGGTCTCCCAAGACCTCGGAAAAACCCGGAAGACCTCGCGAGGGCCCTGACTCGCTGACTTAAGCATTCCAGCCGCTAGCGGCGGTGCTTGCCGCTGCCCAACCGCAGCGGCTGGAATGGCCCTGGAAAAGGAGGAATCGTATCTAAAATCGTATCCGTTCTAAGGGGATCTCGATACGATTTCAATACGATTTTCGATACGATCTCGATACGATTTTCGATACGATTCCTGGATATTGGGCCCCCGAACCCATTGTTTTCTGAGGACTAGGCTCAAGTCGTCCTTTGGACCCTACTCGTAGTTTTTGGATACGATTTCGATACGATTGTCGATACGATTTCGGAACGATTTCGGAAAGGTCTGGGAAAAAGCTGATACGATTTCAATACGTCCTTGGGGGAGGTTCTGCGGTGTGGACCCTACCTCAATACGCTTCTTTCGCATTAGGCCAGTAGATGCCTATCTACTTGTCGGGTCTAGTCATAATGCCACGGCCCCCAACAGCGAGAATCCAATAACTCATAATTTTCAGGTCTGTCGAGGCATGCGCCCCTTTGCAAGCCCTAGACTTGCAGCTTTCATTCATGCCCCAGGCTCTATTGACTCTATTAAGGTCCCTACTCAGGCCTATTCACAAAGGCTCCAACCC